AGAACAGAGAGAGCTTTACTGTGCAACTAACCTGATTTATATTTGACATGAATTTAAAGTGCCTCAAAAGCCCCAGCATTTGTATCCTTTACTTGGGTATCAAAGTTTACTAAAACAAAATTGTGTTAGTTTAAGTTTTTTCTCTATAATGTTTAGTTTTTAATTCTGACATTTTAAAAAAAACATTGAATACATCTTACTTGGCTTATTACACAACTCCACCAGTCTTTTAGAATTAGTGCTTCAAGTACTCAAACAAAACATGAAAGTTAACTTGATTATATGAGTGGTCAACATTTAGCTAGACCATTATTCCCAAAACTGAAAAGATACAATTAGGAACAGCTACACCATCTGATACTAATTGGGAGTAGACTGCAGTGTCATCCAAAGTATTGCACCAATCCAATCCTGTCACTCTCCACCCCGAGGCCAACGCCAATTTCAGATAGTCTCTTCCCTCCCCAATGGGAATTCTTTCCCTTCAGAATTCTGTTGCTGCTACTGTTGCCTTTTTATACAACAACAACAGATTACATTTATATAGCACCTTACACATTGGAAGGATGTCCCTAGGCGCTGAACAGTTAAAGGTTTGCACCCGAACTTGTTGAATGGAATCAAGAGGGGTGGGTGGAAGGGGGCATGGATTGGTTGGCTGAAAGCAAGGTCAAAGAGGAAAGTATTGAGATGGGTCTTGAAAGAGGCAAGCGAGGGGTGAGGTGGAGGGATCCAGGATGGAGTTCTGTAAGGTGGGTGCAGAAAAACTGAAGGCCTGATTGTCAATGGAGCCTAGACTTGATGAATCAAAGATCTTGGTGGCCTGAGGGGACTGTTTTATTTCTAATAAAATAAATGTTTAAATGGTGTCTAGAGGATAGAGGTCAGTGGCCAAGCCAGGCAACATTACTGAAGTGTGGGAAAGCAGAAAGGGTCATGGCACGGAGTTCCAGATTAAGGGAAGAACAGCTGTTACGAGCTATTGATTTCACCTTACTGGGCTTGCAGAGAAGCAAGCAGCTGCTGCTCATTTTCCGCACTTCCAGCTGTTGGAACCAACACTCAATCGTGTGTCCAAGCTGTGGGCAGGAAGATGGTGGAAATGCTCTCATGAATTTCATGTTGAGCTGTGTTGCTCACCAGGAAGCTCGCAGGGAGTTCTTCCTATCTGCCATGCACCTAGTGAGGGTTCAAACCCATGCTTGGTGGAAGTCAAATAACCAACTAGTGACTATTCCTCGGGATGAGGAGCAGGTTTCCTTGGAGCTGATCTGGCTCCAAGGTGATGTGCTTGGCATTGGAATGTCAGAATCGAACCAACCCTCTGTGGCAGTCTCGGTAGTCCAGTTCCCGAGCCAGGTGGGTCCGCAGTATTCCAGAGCACTGCTCAAATTAGTGTGTGATTCAAAAATTGTGATAAGGAAAAAATAACTTGTACATTCAATAGAATTGATTTGGACATGTACAACTCCTTCATGGAATCACTTGTACCTTCTTCAGCCATTCAGCTGAGGTTTCTGTCATTCTGCCCATACTCTCTGGAACTCCATCCAGAAATCCCTCTACCTCACCTCCTCCCTCCCCACTTTTAAAGCCTGTCATAAGATATTTCTTTTCTACCACACATTTGTCGTTTTTCCTCTCTTTTTCCCGGATCCTCCCAACCGCCAGCTCTGGTTCCCAGTCAGCTCTGTGAAATGTTTTGAGTTGTTCTCCTTACACAAAAGGTTCTATATATATATATACAATATATACTTACAATATACAATATATATTTACAATATACAATATATATTTACAATATACAATATATATTTGTAATATACAATATATATTTGTAATATACAATATATATTTGTAATATACAATATATATTTGTAATATACAATATATATTTGTAGTATACAATATATATTTGTAGTATACAATATATATTTGTAGTATACAATATGTATTTGTAGTATACAATATGTATTTGTAGTATATTATATATATTTATAATATATATAGAATATGTGTGTACATTTTTTTCTTTAACTGAAATTGGTTGGTTTACTTCACTTTTTGGTAAGCTATATAACTTGATAGCACATTTTAGGAAATTGTAACAAAGTAAATGCACAGTAGATATTTCCAATAAAAGAAATGTATAAATGGTGTCTACATATAGGTCTGAATACAGTTTTATGTTAACTGGTGAAGATAAACAGGATGGAAAAACTTACCTACTCTAAGCCCGTATTTCAATTTAGGTCAGTTTGGTGTTCCCGTGAAGTCCTAACCAATTGTCTTTAAGTTTTCTATGTTTGTCTCTTTCAAGTATTTAAATTTTAGCTGATGTACAAGTTATGGATATTAAATTCCGTCCTTTACTGCACACACGACTATACAACTTGTGCAAATTAAAATAGAAATGACTTCTTTAATTTCTTCAGACAGGTGTCTGCTGCAGGAGTAGAGGTTCAATGGAAATGTTGGAGTATTTATAAATATGTACAGAAAAACAAAATTGCTTTAATTGGATCTCTGAGAGTGGTTCTTTGAGAAATCCCTTCTTTAATGGCCATTTACTATTTTGTGCAGAAAACCTTTATTCTGATAATAAATTAAAAAAATGCCAATTAATTTTGAGAGTCAAGTTTGCTTCATTGTATTGAATTGCTTTTTAAAAAAAAACATGTTTTTTAAAGACTTCAAATCTCTCCCTTTCCGTACATATCCTAGATGAATTCATGTACAATTTGCCTAGGGGGCTCGGCTTGGATGCAAGCTTCAAAAATAAACTAGTATTTATTTAGAGAGAGTGGGGATAACGACGAGCAGATTTTTGTTTCAGTCGGTTTTGATGGATTAACTCTTAAGATCTGTATCTGTCTAAAACCTGACACTGGGATAAGTCGCCAATAATTACCCATAGCTTCGACATCTTTGAGCTCAATCATGGACAAGGCTATATCCGACTATTTCCTCACCTCCCTCTCATCTTGCGTCCCCCTCTCCTCCACCATCTTCTTTTGCCCCTGGAAAAAGCCTGCCCTATCCCTCAGACTTACTGAATCATCAACAATCGGCTCTTCCACTCACCCAATCACGCCTCGCCCATCCTCTCCTCCAACGTCAACTGTGAGGCAATGCTGGACTTCCTCGAAACCAAAGTAGAGGGGATCCGGTTCAGCTGCCTCTGCCCATTGGCACCGTTCCCACCCCTTTAAAAACAGCCGTCATCACTCCTGCCTTAAAAAAACACACACACACGTACTTGGACCCATTCCTGCTCTCAAACTTCTGCTCATCTCCAACCTCCCTTTCCTTTCCAAGGTCCTGGAATGAGTCGTTGCTTTCCAGCTTCGCTTCTTCCTCTCCTGCAACTCCCCTCCAATCGGGTTTACCTCCCAGCTCCACCTCTTTGCCCCTATACTCAAGTGATTTAATTATGCATTATCATAGATCCTGGTGTGATAATTCCACTTTGACAATTTAGATCTGCTTCTTCCAGTTCCCTGCCTGCATCTTCCACTTCCTAGAGGGCTTCACATTCCTCAGGATGCTATGCCCAGAGTACCCACCCCCCTCCCCCCCACAGCTGCTTTTGGCTAAAGATCTATGTGCAGATCTGAGTTTGCTTGATTATCAAAGATATCGATGTGTTGCAGATGACCACATTACAGTTGAAAACTATCAGCTGCTTCGGGCCTATTCACATTGTACTAATGTTTGTCCTTGTACAAGATATAGAACTATTGAGGGTTTAGCAAAAAAAAATATTTAAACATTGCTAATCTAAGTTGTGCAAAACAGTCATTTTTGTGTGGTGTAGCTCGGTACACAGTAGCATGCTTGAGTCATTCACTTTCATGTCAATGTACTGTGTATTCATTGAGTTTTTTAAGGCTTCGAGCCTGTAGTTGACTAAGGGCTATAAGTATGTAATTATAATGATTGACTTAAATCCTAATTGTTTGAGTTCATGAATGATTTTTTTTGCATAATTGTGTTAGTTTCTAAATTAGAATACACAACAGCAAGCTTAGAAAGTGATGTTTATTCCACTAGATATATAAAACCGTCATTTATAACTGAGTTATTACAAATGTAGTTCTATGTGGTAACTCAGGACCTATCAAGCCTTTCACACTCTTGGAATATACCTGGTGTTGTATAGTTTCTCCATTGTGTCTGTTAATAGAATTTACTAAATTGCAGATGACTATTGTATATTGATTCGCTATCTTAATGTTGTAAAACTTCAAATAAATATATAATATATATATATTTCCAATGGCTGGCCATTTTTTTAGTTATTTTGTGGAAGACCATATAGGCAAAATCGACAAGGGTGTTTAAGAGGGAGATAGAATAGTTATACTTTTAAGGGTTGTAGAGAAGGTAGGGCAATAGCTTTAAAAGATCTACCATGATATAATAAACTGGTAGAACAGGGCTAATTGACTGAATGGCCACCTCATGTTCTTATATGTAGTCATTTATGTCTTGAGACAACAATGTAATGATAGTACCAACGAAAGAGCTCGATGTGGATTAATATTATATTTAGCGCTACAAACTCTATTTAAATGATTTGTGTCCCAAGTGCCTTAGAGGGTTCAGAAACCTGAGTGTATTCCTTGCCAACCAGAAGAGCAGTGTACAAAGGGAGAATTTATTGGTAGTGGAAACCTGGAACTCACTCCCCCAAAAATGCCAGGGTTGCTGATCAATTCAAATTTTCGAGACTGAGGTCAATAGATTTTTGTTAGGTAAGGGTATCAAGGGATATGGAGCAAAGGCTGGTAAATGGAGCTGAGGTACAGATCAGCCATGATCTAATAGAATGGTGAAACAGGCTCAAGGGACCTGTTTGAACATCCTGTTCCTATGTTGGAATGAAAGGTAAAGGGTAACAGTGGATAGAGAGAAATGTTTTTGTCAATGGGCAATCTGAAAACTTTCCAATATGGTATTGTATCACATTACTTATATAAGTATCTGCTTCCATTCAGGTTCTGTGCTCGTTGCTTGAAATCGTATGACCTCAGGACACAAACCCAAGGGCTGCAGTTGACCTCTAGGTGAGATTTGAGAAGTTGGGCAAAATGACTAGCATTCTTAAACATCTTCATACAATCTTTTTCTGTGCAACAATATGCACTACACAAATCTAGGAATTCTTCTGGAATTCTGTTTTACATTTGTTCCACGGTTATTGGCACTGTTTATTGACCAGCCCAATCTATGTCATGGTACTTTTGCAGTCATCCTGTCTCATCCCAAGTTTTTCAATTTAATTTCCAGAAATAAGTCCTGCTCTACTAACTAGTTTGAAATACTATAGTACATTGTTACCCAGCATGGATATACAGGGTGACCAAAGGTTGTGACTATTACTACTATGCATTACAATATCTAATACGTTTTAAAGAAATTATGATTTTTTTTAGATAATAGGGTATCATCACAACTTTTTGGCCACCCTCCAGATGAGATTTGAGAAGTTAGACACACTGGGCAAAATGACTGACTTGTACGTGGTGCTAATTAGTTTGTATATAGTAATGTTCCTCAACATCCATGGTGTTAATAACCAATCTTTTTTTTATCTGGTGATTGTTGGCCAAGACTCCAGGGGAAACCCTCTTCTCTTTCAAATAGTATAATTGGATCTTTAACATCTGTCTGAACAGGCAGACCTCAATTTAACATCTCATCCAAAGCATTTTCAACAATACTGTGCTGTTAGGCTACACTGTGAGTTCAAAGTACCAATGTGGGTCCAAACCCACAAATGTCTGACTTGGATTTAAGAGAATGACCAACTGAGCCAGGCTTACATTCAGTTGGCATTATATGTAGTATTCTTTTCACCTGAAGTTTTTTTATAGTGCATATCATTTAATATGAGCAATGAAAATAATTGAAATTAAACTGAGATTGCTTTTTTCACATAAATATACATAAAATCAAAAGGGTAAATTATTTTCCAGGTTTCAAAGGGATGAGTGAGATGCAGAAGCTCTGCTAATCCCTGTCCTATTTTCAAATTTCTTCAGCAGTTTTGGTAATTGGGAGAAGTATAATCAAAAGTAGATTAATGATGGAAAGAGGTATATTTTGTTGCTGCTTCTGTGAAGCAAAAGTGACACACGACCTTCGAGATGGGGTTCTCTGTTTCAGTAGTCTGCCCTATTAGAGGATTTGAAACCAGCTACATTTGATCTTTATTTTAAAGATCGAGCCACTATTCTATTAGCAACTATCTAAACTTCTCCCCACTCTTGAACATTGCTATAAGAAGAAACTTACCTTTATTATGCCAACTCTGCACAAAAGAAGGGTGGGGGCCGGGGTGTGAGGGGGAGGTGACAAGGGGGTAGTGGTGGAGAGGGGAGAGGTAGCTCAACGAATCCCCTTGACTTTGGATTCGAGGAAGTCTCAACATTTCCTCGCAGTTGGAATTGGAGGAGAGAATGGGAGAGGCGTGGGAAGATGGACGGAAAAGGCAGTTAGCGGTGGAGAAAAGGAGCCTGGGATTGTCCTAGGCCTCTAAGATTATCTCGGAGTAAAAGGATGATTTGGTGGAGGCGAGGCCGGAGCGATAAGTCTTAGATTGGTCAAGCCAGATCTGCTGATGGACTGTTAGGTTCGATTTGATCCAGTTGCGTTCGGCGCAATGGTATGAGGGAATACAGTTCCACAGAAGCTAGGTGCCCTCTGGTACCTTGTCCAGTGGTTATTTGTGAGCGGGATGCTCAATATTGGCAAGCTGCAACAGCATCTGCAAAGTGATCAAAAGTGGAAACACTCTTGATGTTCGTCTCACTAAAGCTAGTTGTAACGCATTAGTGCTATCAACTATTTATAACAGCCTGAATATTGAACCTGATACTTTTCTAATCTGTGTGGCTCAGTGACTCATTGAATTAAACCATTGAGTCATTGCACATTTTGATTATTCACCTGCAAACTTGCATTATTTTTAAAAAAATAAAAGACAAAAATATGCACATCATCAAAAATCCTAATAGAGACCAGAAGTTGACAGAGTCAGGGAGACTAAATAAAGCCTTGCTAAACACAAAACCATTTCAATGCATTTTTTTTTTGCTTGAACTGGCAATGAATTGGATTTTCAGTCATATGGAGCAAGTAGTGGGTATCCTGTCACAAGCGCCATAACAACAATAAAATCAGCATGTTTATGTGGTCCAGTTAATTCTGTTTAAATTAATGTACTGTGCGTTTCCCCCACCAACCCTCAATTCTATTGTCCTTTGCTTATTAATTTTTTTTAACAACTTGTTATTTTCGTTTTAATTTCCTTTCCCCACTCTGGAAATATTTTTTGCATTTATGTTGACATCAGAATAAAAACTAAATCAACTAATGACATTTTTCTGGTTGGACCCCAGTTTAACTGCATTTGCACATTGTATTCGTATGAGTGCACCAAAATGCATGCCCCACACATGCATACACATGCACAGATTCAAAGCTCGGATATGTTTGAGTTTCTTAACTTGACAAGGATGTCGGTTTGAATTGGAAGAGTGTAGTAGTTAAATTTCTTTCTTGTGAGTTGATTTATTTAGTTTGTCAGCATGGCTTCTAATGACAGTTCTATATTTTTTAAAAGAATTATGTATCGCAAACTACATTGAGATTCAACTGTTATCTGTGGTTATTCCTGATTTAACAATTTAAACAGTTTTTTTTCAAATGTAAAGATAAATTTAGAACGAATACATCTAGTTTTTCCTTTTCTTTTTGCATAATTCGGAATTCAAACCAAAGCATACACTGAGAGCCGTGTCATTGTTAATATGCCTATAAACAGCCTGTCAGAACAATTGAGTGCACTCTAATCACACAGCCCCTCCAAGGCAATGCTCACATGGGAAGAAAAAAATTGCTTTGGATACGTCACTATTTTCCCCTTTTGCAGCTCCCCCCATCTCTGTGGAGCAGCTAATGAATTCTGCTGTAGTCAAAGTCTTTCTATTTTGTTTATCGGGAATCAATGTCACAGAGAGCCATTCTGGAAGTAGGTGAATTGATTTACTCATTTGTTCCTGACATTCCCATCAACCTTGGACTGTCTGCATTCAGTTTCCATGAAGCAATCAGGAAACCTTCACTGCAAAAAAAGATAATAAAACAGCTGACACTCCATCAGCGCAAAGTAATATTTAAAATGGATTAAAGCATCTTTTAAACAGCATTACCCTGCCTCAAATTTCTCACTGTAGTGGGATCAATAGTATAATGACCTTTCCACATTATAGTACATAAATTATATTTGTGTAGCACATTTCATGTCGGGAGGACTTTATAAATAAATAGTTTATCTGGCACAGGGAATAGGATGGTCTCTTCCATAATTGTAACAGTCTTGCGCCTCGCGACATCCTCCCGACGTGAAAGGCGCTCTTTAAATGGAATCTTGTTGTTGTTGTTGCACCTGCAGTGCAGGCACAGGTGGGATTACTGTGAGATCAGAAATGAAGTTCCAGTGAGTGGCACAACTTCCTGAATATTAAATTGTAGCTAAAGTAATGATTTAATAATTGAGGTGCAAGTTAATTGCCCACAAAATACACAGTTAAAACCACTTATAATATATCCTGTGAGATGCTTTGAGACGTCTCAACGTGTTAAGGGGCTGTATACATATATATGTGGAGTCCTGTAGCATAGTGGTTAGAGCACTTGCCTCACAAGCGCGAGGACCAAGGTTCGGTTCCCAGGCGGGACGAAAGGAACCCAGTTGTTAATCGATTGGCTTTCTGGGGTAATAATCACTTTGAAAATTAAATAAGTAATTGATTTGGTCACTCAGTCCACAACTGTTTGTTGGAACACTCTTGTTTGCAATCAGCTGCAATGTTTCACCCACAAATACACAGTCAATCCACTTTACAGTATATTCTGTTAAGCGCTTTGAGAAGCTTTGGAGGGAAGAAAATTGGTAGTGCAATGGATGTACTTATGGTGATTTTTTTTGTTAATATAAAAATGAATCTTGTGCTGTTCAGATTGAACATGCTTGCAACTTTTTTTTAATACAACAACCTTATTGATACAATTCTTTTCCATGCAAAGAGCAAAAAAAGGAATTTGTACATTCATCCGAGACCCATTCACTTTCCTATTAAACTACTTTGCACCAGTCGTATTAATCATCTCCTAACTTGTAAGCCGCTTCTTCACCCTTTGATGCTTCTGCACTTACCGGCTGCATTGAATCACAGGAAAAATGACATCCTGACTTGTCGACCCATGCACATATACTGGCCGGCTACACTGAATCTCGGGAAACGTAGTCTTGATCCATAAACACGTGCACGGAAGAACTCAATTTCACGCGATTCAATGTAGTTCCAATGCTTGTTGATAAGTGCATATGCAGGGATGGATCAAGGCACATTAAATCGTGGAAATTAAGTCTTGACATGTCAACTCATGCGCACTTACCAGCTGCATTGAATTACGACGGCGTAATATAGATTTTATACAAGTTTGCTTGCAGCTCAGACTTTGCGTAAGTCATATTAAATGTCTTGTAGTCTTGTATGTCCCACGATTTAGGGAATCCATAGTGTGTATTGGGTTACTTCTGATGTTCAACCAACTAAAACAGTATAGCTTGCCATTGAAAGCTGTGTCTTGCTTGTCCAGCAGAACCACACTAACTTAGAGCACTGGTTTACAGGGGTGTATGCTCCTTTAAGTCCTGCTGATAAACCAGATTGGCTGGGCTGTCAGATCCACCTGGGTTAGAAACCAAACCACCATAGAGCATTGAATTGATTCCAATATTCTGTTGCCAAGCACATTGTCTGGAACCAGCTCACCTTCAAGGAGAGCACACTACCTCCCCCTCTCTCCTAGAAGGAAAGTCAAAATACAGTTACATGAAATGATATTATGCATTTTCTTTCAGAAGGCATATGCTGTATTCTTAAATTGCAATAATCTACTTGTTTTTAGAACCAGTGATTGAGGCATCTGAAGAACCGATACATCACCAAACATATTATAAAGAATAATGGACAACTGGGAGTAATTAAAAGGTAGGAAACATGTTTCCAAACGATCTATTTGTCTTATATATGAGTTATTATATTTTGTTTGCTATATCCGCAATGGTTGTCAGTGACCTCTTGATGCATGGCGATTTGTAAAGATTAAATATTGTCACAAATTTCTTGGGAAATTAACTACAGTTAATTACTGGTGAATTATAATACTTGGATATATTATAACTAACTAAGAGTGATTTCAAGGGAATTTACTTTTTTAAGGCTTGATTATGCCTTTGAAGTGGCAGTTTGCATCAGTTGTGAAGTACATCGAAAAGTGTTTGCAATCGTCAGCATTGAGTAAAATCAAATGTTTTGTGAAACAGAAAGTACTGGGTGACCAAAAAGTCATGATATCTACCCTATTATCTAAAAATAATCATAATTTCTTTTAAGACTTATTAGATATTGAAATGGTATTACGACTTTTTGGTCACCCTGTATATTAACCTCAATGGAGTCTAATATGAGGTACTTTGCACTTTAATGGTCAGCTGGTTGTCAGACATCCACAGAAACCCATCAACATGCGGAAGAGTATCCAAATACGACTGAGAGTCAGTCACATATGTATGCCAACTTCACGTAGAAATTTCTCTGTGTCTGAAATGGAATGCATAGTTTCTGCGTAGAGGGACCCAACCTTCTTACCTGATTCTGAAGAGTATTAGGCATAGGTTGGCAATAGTCTAGGCTTAGGGAGCCCATGCACTATCTGGCAAGTTTCCTGCTGCTTGTAAAGCCAGCACCACCTTTTGGGCTATGGCTTGCAGAGTTGCAGAGTTGGCAGAAACTGAGTGGGAAGAGTCCTTGCTCCTAGTGACTGGTCAGACCCCTCAAGTCCTACCGATAAGCCTTGCTGGCTGGTCTGTAACCTGCAGTGCCCTGAAGTACTGTGAACCTGCAAGAACTGGATTACTGAGTCCAACACAGAAAGTTGTCTTGATGTACTAGCAGCAAGAGACTGTTTGTTCAAAAAACGATGATGGGTAGGATAGAGGTCAATTAGACCTCCTTCCAAAAAACTGGAGGAGCACTATCCCAATTGGAGAAGCTCTCCTGCTGCCGATGGTCTTTTGGCGAAGGGTAGAGGGGTATAAAGGGCATTCCCATGCCAGGAAACCTTCAAGACCTCTTGACATGAGGTTTATTTGATCTGTTGACATAATCAAGCCATCTTGTTTGTTCACCAACTATAGCTGGAACTGGCTTCCTCTGTGACACCCCTATGCTTCTATTGTATAGAATGTCCTAATTGAAAACCTAGAAGTCGGTGCTGTTATTTCCACACAACTGAATCTCATACCATTACTGTATGTTTCCCTCCAGCTCCTGTAGAAAATTTTCACAAGTTATCTTTTTGGCTCCATTCACATTATAAAATGCACTTTAAAGCAAGCCTTTTACTTTTCTTGTCCAATGGCAAAAGCATTAGAGTGATTTATCCTATAACTCTTTGTTAATGGCAGTGGAAAACAATAATACACACAAAAGCAAATGAGGTAGCTTTTGACTTTGACAAGAAAAAAATGACTAAATAGAATATCGAGCTGCTTTTTTCTATTGAATATTGGTTTTAGCTTGAAGGCATTCCACAGGAGGAGTACTAGAACGAGTTAATGCAGCACAGGGCAGGATTTTCCATTAGTCTGTTGATCAGTTGAGAGAGGAAAATAATGCTCTTACAGCTTCAGGTCACAGGTTTACTCATGACAATGTACTGAACACTCAAACTATAATACATAGTACTCTATAGACAATATGGAATAGCCATCACCTACTGCAAAAGTACTTCATACCTTGTCTGTACTTCAAATTCTATTCTGAAAATGTAAGAGTAGTATTCCTGTTATAGTGTCTGAGTTAGTAATTCATAGAATTAGCAGCGCAGGAGTTTCCTTTTGTCTGCAGAAATCAGTTTGCAAAATATTAATGTGCTGTTAATTTTGATAAATTTATGATTGTTGTGCCCGCGTTTTCGCCCACAAAGTATACAAGTCAATTCACTTCACAGTATATTCTGTGAAGCCCTTTTGAAGACGTGTACATATAAGTATATATAAGTTGCTATATGAAATGCAAGGATGTTTATTATTATTCATTTGTAATGGCTGGAATTTCTGACTTTTCCACTTAGGATATTTTTCATTTATAGAAATGGAAAATATCGTAAGTGGAAAAGTGATATAACTATGATACTGGCACAATATAATAGTCATTCGGCATTCTTTCCCAGTTTTGGTTTTAAGTAGTACAAGAAAAATGAGGGCAAACACCTCAGTCATTGTAATTGGTGTACTTTGTTCTCAGTACATTTCACACACGGGATAATCTGACACTGGTTTCGCTTTTCTCTGGACAAAATTCAAGGGAACACTTCTCTTCCCTTTCCTTTGATGATGGGAATGTTGCGAATGTGGGTTTTTAAGTTCATGCACTGTTTTAGGAGAGCCACTCCTGTGAGATGTCAATTCATTATTTTCCACTCTTCGCCTACTCTGTATGTAGATCACAAGAGAAATTTAAATGAAGAAGCTCCTTTGGCCTATCTGATCTTATCCTTCCAGAATACTTGTTACCAATCCAAAATGGTCCTTCCATTGTCACAATTTTCCCTAGTCTCACAATTCTTGATATCCTGTAAAGTACTGCATTTGTCCTATCAAAAACAGACCAATATTTAAGGAATTCTTCTGCAGTGAAGTTCAGCGTTAATACTTCTGCTGTTCCCTGTATTTCAGCCAACAGTACAAACACTGTGACGTAATCTTCATCTTGCGACAGAAGGCTGCTAACAATATATTGATCTCTTCAAACCCATTGACAGCTGCCAGAAGGTGAGTGGGAAAACAATTTGTATTTTGTGTTACTGGGGCAGTGAAAGGATTTAAAATATTTAAATTTGTGTGAAAAATATTACCAAAGTGTTTTTTTTACCATAAGTATTTGGGAAAACAATTTGAATTTTGTGTTACTGGGGCAGTGAAAGGATTTAAAACATTTAAATTTGTATGAAAAATATTACCAAAGTGGTTTTTTTACCATAAGTATTTTAGACCTGTCAAAAGTGTCAGTGCTGTTCCCAGCTGACAAATATTAAGGCACCGGGAGATATTTTGTTGGAGATGTAAGCAAAGTGCTAGAATTTTCACTATTGTTTTTCGAATTAAATTTAATAAAACTATTAGTGTATCTGTAATCATAAGTGTTGAACATAAAGGTCTAAATCTTTGTTCAGTTTGTCCTTTTAGTTCAATATGATTAAATTTACTTGCCAATATATTATTGGGTTTGGTATTTGGGGTTTAAACTTCAAGTTTTTTTTTAAGATAAGACACACTTAACGTTAGCATGTATACCAATAAGATCCCAGCACAGCTCTTTGGCTATTCTGGGTTATTTGGACAAATATAAATCACTGATGTTTCTATTTTATCCATTGATTGGCTGTGTTGAGTAAGGGTGAGGTCAGGCTCTGATTCTAATGGTCCTATGATGAATTAGCTCCTACCCCAATATTCACTGGACAAGCGAATAACAGTTGAACAAAGTAATGGAGAACAACTGCCATTCAGGTCGTAAGAGGAGAATATCGGAGAAAAAAATCACTTAAAATAATCCATTAGATCACCGAAAATTTTAACTATTAAAAATTAAACTCTCAGCTTTATTATTTGAGGAGGGAAAAGAGCAATATGGGTGGAGAGTAATGTTCACCATGATATTGATTGCAGATGAAGGAGTGATAGTTTTTTGACAATTTTAAATTATGTTTTGTAAAAACAAAAGCTTTAAAATATACCAAACACTTTCATAACTAAGCACTTTTAAAACAGAAACTGAGTGTTGGGAGACAAACTGTTAGTATAACGTGGGGAAAATGTAGTATGATCTTGGTCTATTTTACCTCTTGGAGATGCACCATTTCATACCTTCTCAGCGGGCTGCCACTTACGTCAAACAGATTCACAGTCCAGTCATGTACATCTGGAATTGGTTAAGGATGCTTTGTCAATCGGGCCAGAGCTGACTCATATGTCCTTAAAATTCATATATTTCATCAATAATGTCCTCATTCAGACATTTAGGATTTGAACAGTTTGAAGATGGAATTGTGAAACTGCCAACTATGACTTATTTGGATAGTTTGTCATTCAAAAATAAGCAAAGCTTCATGTATTAAAATGGATTTGCAAACTGTACCACTCTTATTGATATAATTTAATGTTTTACTAATCTTAACCGTTCTGATGTTTCACATTACAAACTTCACCCATCTTAAATTGTTGAGTAATGTAGCCCAAAATTCTTTCACAGTCAGTTTTCTCTTTCACTCTATGATCACCACTGATCATTCCAAAACCAGGAATACAGATGGGTGAAATGTTTCCTACTGTCTTGTAACTTGGCTTTACTTGGTCCAATATATACTGCGTAGAGTGTCAGCTTGGCTCAGTTGGTAGCACTCCGAATCAGACAGTTGTGGGTACAAACTCCCAAGTTGGGACTTGGATCGCATATAGTCTAAGGTGACAATGTAGTGCTGTGGGCGTGCTGCATTGCTGGAGGTGCTGTCCTTCGAATGAGACATTAAACCGAGGTCCCACCTGCCTGTTCAGATAGACATTAATGATCACATGCCACTATTTGAAAAGAGAAGGGAGTTTCTCCCTGTATCCTGACCAACAATTGCCCAAAGGGTCACTCATTCGATGAGTGTTTGTGGGAAATTGCTCAAATTAGCTGCTGCGTTCACCCACAAACTACACAGTTGCAATACTTTATATCCTGTGAAGTGCTTTGAGACTTCTCAACGGCATGATAAAGTGTTATATCAAAGCAAGGTTTATTCTAATATGACCACCTGGCCAAAATTAGTCAAAAATCTAAGATTTGGTTCACACTCCAATCTTTAAATCTACCTTTTGGTGTTCTGTTAAGCAGAAAACAGAAATGTAACTTTAAATAATTAGTTTTGGGGGCTCTTGGGGTGTCCCTTGTGCCACGCATAAACTGTGGCTGAGTGAGAGTAAATGAGCTAATCCTGGGCCATTGCCTATAACATTCTAATATATATATTAACTATCTTTCCTCATTGTGATGTTCCATTTAATTGGGCCAAATATGTAACTCCCACAGTTTCATAGCATATTGGGCTCAGATTGAATGTGGGATGTTTATTCTGTTGTGTTCTGTGCTGAAATATCTGTTATTTTGACCCTTCTGCTCAATTGGAAGATGAAGGTGAATTAACAAGTTAACAATATTGATTAAAATAATGCGCCAACATCCTGAGGCAATTGCATCTTTGAGCATTTGTTCATTTCCCGCCCTTAAACTCTGGATTAAGTGTGGTTTGCCTTCACGCCCTTCTGGTGCAATTAGTCAGAAGGTTAGTTATGGCAGTGTGGTGCAATGACAGGCCTCAAAGTGAATACCGTGCCCTTGCTATGGGCAACATGAAGATCTACATAAAGAGGGAAGCCCAGTAGCAAGGATTTAGTGTGCCTCCTTTCTGCTGAATGTGCTGTTTTGTTTTCCTATCTTTCTTTGCAGGAGAACTTCCCTAATCTTGTAAGTACAGTACAAATATTTACTTAGTAATTTAAAGTAAATTCACTAACTCTTTCCTTCTTTCCTTAAATGTAGTATTGCTCATACAATGAGAATTGCTCTCCATGAGAGATTTTGATGGGTAAATAGTGCTAAATTATTTTCATTTGTTAGTAAGTGGAGAGCATAGGTTTAAGGTCATTAGCAAAACTTGAGAGGTTCGAAGAGTTTTTTAAAAAAAAGCAGATTATTAGGACCTGGAATGCCATATCAACAACAGCGATTAAAGCAGAATCCACAATAGCTTTTAAAAAGGAATTAGACAAATATTTGAAAATATTAAAAGGTATTGGGATAGGGCGGTAATTGTGACTAAAAGCATAGCTTTCTCAGAGAGCCAGCAAGGCCAAGTGGCCTTGGAATTCTGTAATTGCATTCAAGACCTAATATTTTTATGCACATTAAAGATGTGATTATTTTTTATAAAGACCCAAATGTTTGTTTTAGTTAAAATGACTAGTAAAATGGCTTTGATAAATGTTTGTACGAAACCTGATTTCCTAGGATTTTTTAAAAACATAATATTCAAAGATAAGTGAAGCACAAACAATCCAGCTGAATCTCAATGCTAGAGGTTGTTGTAGATAGAAGATGGACAGAAGAATACACACTTTAATGGCATATTGGTGAAAAATGACACTGAGCCAGACTTAATGCTGAAGCTTAACTGGATACAAATTTTCGCAATGAAAGTGAATAACAGCTTCAATTTCTTGTATGTATGATGTGATTACAATTCTATCTGGAATTATGTAACACACAATGAAACGACTAAAACTAGGTTAAACACAGGAATCAATAGTTTATTTATTGTAATAGTATTGCTTTGGACTGGCTTGGCTGGCATTTTGTTGATCATGATTTCAATTAGTAGTCAGTTACACTGCCAAAATCACAGTGCTTGACTTGTGCCCTCTACCCCACAGAAAGTGATGCAAAGAATCTCCAAATATGTTTAAGCAGTTTGTCTTGTACATTTATATTGTATGTAAATAGTTTAAAAAGAAAATAGTCTTAATCACAAATTGCTTTAAATCAAATTTGAAAAGGTTAGAATAATGTAAAACAGATTCTCAAACCTCTCAAAGAGCATGTTTAATGATGTTTCTCATTGAATGTTTGTTTATGTAGCCCAGTGAAGATTTACCACAAAATTTTGTTGTCTCAAGAGTTATCTGTTCATAAATCTGCACAACACACAATCTATTTCCAATAATTACTTTGTAGTAATGTCACTTTACAGTAATGTCACTTTAAAGAGTGAAGTGTTCTGATTTGTGTTTATTAAATACTGTAGAGTTTGTCAGAGTTTAAAAAAAACAGAAAAGATCTTCTCAAGCCGATATTTTTAGGAATTTCATTTTCTACAACTTGTCTGTAGGTTAACAAAAATAATGTTATCTCTTTGTGCTCTCTAGGGCCCTAAAGATTGCTGGTAGCTGATTTGTATCTTGTGCATTTAATAATGTTAATAATTAATAATGTTAATGCTGGATGATCTGCAGCTTCAGTGCATTTTTGTAGAATTCAATATTTGTAACAATATTAGTCCAAATAGAACATTGCCACGGTGTTTTTTGTTGGATGAATATTGCCAGTTACTGAAGAATCAAAAAAAGTTAACATATATTTCTGTTTGTCTGGGGATGGGAAGGCATAGTTGACTGCATGTTAATATTTCCTCCTTTATGCTGACTTATGGAATCAATCAGTCCAAAGTTAAGTCTTGGTCAATAAGTTGATGCATAGCGTAATATCCTTCAATCATAAATTCTGAAGAGTTGTCCTTATTTTATCTTGGTAGTGTTGCTATTTTTTATACTCAATCTTTGTGTTTTCTCATGGTAAATTTGCCACATTGTAGCACGAAACTAACTGCTTTTATTCTGGAACTTTTGCTGACAGTGAGGGGAAATCAGACTGTGCCTTTGTGGGTATAATACACAGTGATTGCCTTTGAATAACATAATGTTATAGAGGTGAAAGAGCAGTGTTCTGGCACATTGTCAATTCCCACCAAAGAATATGATAATTTTCTGTTTTTCATCTCAGCAATGTTGAACAGGTTTTGTTGTATTCTAGAACACAGTTCACAACTTCAGTTGATCAATGAACATAACATAACATGTAGGAGCAGGAGCAGGCCATTCGGCCCTTCAAGCCTGTCCCGCCATTCAATCATGGCTGATCTTCTAATCTAACTCCAGCTAATAACATAACCCTGCTTTATCCCCATATCCCTTAATCCCTTTTGCAATAAGAAATCTATCTATCTCAGTCTTGAATATGTTCAAGGACTGAGCGTCAACAGCCCTTTGGGGTAGTGAGTTCCATACATTCACCACCCTTTGAGTGAAGAAGTTCTTCCTCAACTCAGTGCGAAAGGGCTGCCTCTGATTTTAAGGTTGTGACCCCTGGTTTTAGTTTCTCCAATCAGGGGAAGCAATCTCCCACTGTCTACTCTATCATGCCCTTTGATGATCGTATAGGTTTCTATAAGATCCCCTCTAATTTTTCTATATTCTAGAGAATATAGGCCCAAATTGGTCAGCCTATCCTCGTAACTCATCCCCTTCATCCCTGGTACCAACCTCGTAAATCTACGCTGCACCCCCTCCAAGGCAAGTACATCCTTCCTTAAATAAGGAGACCAAAAAATGAAGCAATTTTAATGTAGGATGTGAACGTATGAAAGAAGCATTTTGGTGGGAGAACATTATACTATAATAGAACTTGTAGTTTGGTTTCAAAATGTATTATATCCTCGGAATCCTTTGATTGTAATACATGCTCACACATTATTTTTGTTCCCTCTTTGTAATACACCAGCATTTACTATCGGCATGAACTGCGGTTAGTAGTTAAGTGTGGAATGTGATAACTTGGGACTAAAAAGATTTTAACTGTTAAGATTTGATTTGACTGAGAAACCTATGGACTACTGTCTAATTCAAACAATTTATTCCAAAGATTGGTGCCTAGAGAGACACAGATCAGAAATGGCATTTTCCAATGTCTGAATTAAATAGAAAAGCAAGGGGTTGGGTTTGGGTAAAAAGCAAAACTGAATAAACAATGGATAAGATTTACAGTTGACCGTATTCCTTATATAGCCGTTTTAAATTTAATTTACTTTAAATAAAGATATAAGCACATGCCACCCATTTTGGTGTAAAACAAAAAGGACATAATAAATGCAGTGAACCGTTTCCTAATTTGACTGTTAAAAAAAATTGGGGCACAAGCAGTGTTCTTGACACATTTGGCTTGGAGGGATACACTGGGTGGCTGGTTATGAGGTCACTGAGCATTTCCTTCGCCTCTAACTACACATACACATGTAAATATGTAAGAAAGATGAAGTCGAACTAGGCAACAGTGTCCGCCAGAAGATGGTTTGTAGCAAACTGGATGCACGTTCGTTTCTATGTCGTGAGATTACTGCGGATCCAGTCAGCTGATGAATCCTTGTGAAGAGTTCTCTCGGAGCTGCGGTGAGGTTGGCGCAGTATGGTAGCCTGCAGCTATCTGGTCGGAGAAATGGCCTTTTTGTGAATGCCATAGAAATGACGAGATGTTCATTGCCCAGAAGTCCAGGACCAACCTCAGTAAAGGGAAAATGGGAGGATTTGGAGAAAGCGGATCACGTGCCCAGGACCTCGACACATGTGATCCAGCCTTGGGCCAATCAGGGCATTTTGCTCATATTGGATGGGACAGACAAAATTGCAGTTTTATTTCGACATTATTTTTCCTCCGGTCTCTGTACACTGCATGTGACCATCTGTTCAAATCGAAATCGGGCAAAAAAGTGGAAAGAAAAACAAAGCTGCTTTTTGTGGGTAAGAAGATTTTAAAGGATTTCTGGGTTTCAGATGTCATTAACAGACTAAAAAGTCCCATTTTCCTAATTTGATGGATCGACTTGATGGCCAGGTCTCATTACAAGTGCCAGTCTCTGTATTCAGAGAAGTATTGTTCCCTTTTATTTTTCACTTGTCTCAATTTTGACTTTTAGGATAGAATGAAAAATGACTAGAAATTGTGAGTGTTACTGAAAGGCCTTGGATTTGGTAAGAATTTCACTCGGACTATTTCCATCCTTTATACGTCTAGATTTTTTGTTAAGTGTGATAACTCATGATACTTTGGTGGAAGGTTGTCTTTATACAGTTAGATGACATTATCTGTTTTGATTCAAATGATGTGCACTCGAGTAGTTCATACAGCCTTTTTTATAGGACCATATGGTTGGGCAGAGAAATGTAAACAGTGTGACACATATGTACTATGTTTTATGTCCATTTGACAAGAGCTTATTAGTTTCTAACCTTTTAAAATTCATAATTCCAGAAATTTATTTGTGGGTTTCCTGAATTGAGATTTGTAATGAATCATTATTTGAGTATCTATTTTCATTTGTACATTTTGGCTGAGGGCTTAAACTGTATTCCCACTGTGTTTGATGAAGAAAGCACTATTTGTCTAGGGAATTAAGCTGTGACAAACCTAATTCTATTATTGCAAGGAAGAGACAGATATTGGCTGTAGCAATTTGAATATTCCATCCAAATGAAGATTTTTCAGAATTATTTTAATTATTTGAGACAAGCAAGAAAACTATAATCTTTCTTTAAGGTAAAGGTAACAAATGTAACAAAAACAATGCCGAATGGCTTATCAATTTCAGATTTGAGAGTGCATGTAAATTGGTGTGGATTCCAGATCGTGTCTATCAAGCAATATAATTCTCCTTTTCACAAATATTGAGTATTTTATAGATTGACTTTTGAATTCCATTAATTTCATCACTATACCATCATAGCCTTGAATATTTCTAAATCTAATTGTGTTTAACGATTAAACTGTATAATAAACAAACTTTCAGAGTATATGGTTAACTAATTACATATATCGACACATTTTAGATTAAATTAATTCCTTTACTTTATATGTAAATG